TGATCCTTATGGGTCCCTTCCAACTTGGGATGTTCTATGATGGAAGGAGGTTGGAAGAAGCTGCCCGTGCTGGTCCATCCTTGGAGGTACTCAAGGCCGTGGACACGGGTCTAGAGGACCTTGCTTGAGCTAGATGGTCGGAGTAGATCATCTCCAGGTCTTGGCTCCGAGCCTTCAGGCACTGAGGACGTGCGGGGGGCCTTGGTGGGACACTTTGGGATCCCCATCGGCACGTCTCTCTTGCAGGTGATGGGATCGTGGATGACGAAGAGGATGGAGGTGGTGAGAGGATGGAGACGCGTTGGACAGGACCTGGGATGGGGCAACGGGTGGGAAAGGGGACGAGGGGTGGTGGGATGGGGGGGAGCACGCGGCCAGGGGGTCCCAGCGCAGGAGGTGCCGATGTCTGCGGGGAGCGTGGGAGAAGTTTTCCCTGTGGATCATCCCTGGCTGCCCACCGGTGTGTCCACACCAGCGAGAAGCCCTACAAGTGTCTCGATTGTGGGAAGAGCTTCGGGCGCAGCGCCCACCTCATCACCCACCAACGTACCCACACCCACGAGCGACCCTACAAGTGTCCCGATTGCGGGAAGAGCTTCAACCAGAGGTCCAACCTGCTCATCCACCAGCGGGTCCACACCAGGGAGAGACCCTATGGGTGTCCTGAGTGTGGGAAGACCTTTGGCTATAGGTCCGTCCTCCTGATCCACCAGAAGATCCACAATGGGGACAAGCCCTACACCTGTATGGACTGTGGGAAGATCTTCAGCCAGAGCTCAGACCTCACCAAGCATCGCCGGATCCACACCGGAGAGAGACCCTACGGTTGTGCTGAGTGCGGGAAGACCTTCAGCCTCCATTCCCACCTCCTCTCCCATCAGAGGACCCACAAGGGTGAGAAGCCCTACGCTTGCCCCGAGTGCGGGAAGAGCTTCAACGATAGCTCCAACCTCATCACCCACCAGCGTATCCACACCGGGGAGAAGCCCTACAGATGCCCTGAGTGCGGGAAGGGTTTTGGACGCCTCTCGCATCTCCACCGGCACCAGAGGACCCACACGGGGGAGAAGCCCTTCACCTGCTTGAGCTGCGGGAAGAGCTTCAGTGAGAGCTCCTCCCTCATCCGTCACCAGCGGGTCCATACATGAGCCTGTTTTGGGGTGGGAAGAGGAGCTCCAGCTTTCCCACCAAGGATGGAGGAAGTAGGTGACACCTTTGCTGGCTTGATGGTGGTGGGTGTCAGGCAGCAGCACCCCACAGATCACCCCAAAATTGGGCAAGGAGGAGTTCAGTGGGGTTTTTGGGCTGGTGCTCAACCCCAAGATGCATGGGGTACGTCTGATTTATTCCTTATGATGTTTCCACCAAAAAAACCCTGGAGATCCACCAGGATGAGTGGGAGAAATAAAGTCCAGGTGGGTTTTCCAGACTCTCTAAGCCTTTGGGGCCATCAGATCCTCAAAGCTGTGGGTGATGGCCATCACACTGTGTCCTGGGTAGTGTTGGCAGACACATGGGGCGAGATCCCCCCCGTTTTGGAGCTGTGGGGAGGATCTGGCTGCAGACCCAGGGGTGCAAGGGGCCATCCCATATGCAGGAAGGAACAGCACGATGTGTGCTAGAGCTCTACGTCTTCTCCTGAGGCGGGGGATGGTCCTTCCCTTGGCAAGAGGGTCTCCACAGACTTCATGGGAGGGTGCATCTCAGCTGTACGGGATGGCCTATGTGTTGTAAGGACCAGTGGTCTCTATCCATGAGATGAGTCGGGACACAGAAGGTCCCCAGGTGGGGGGAATTACATCACAGCTCCTTGTAGGGAGGGTTTGGTGGAGCTGAAAGCTTGATGGAGCAAAAATTTGATGAAGCCAAAGCCTTGGTGGACCCTTGGTGGAACCAAACTGTTCTTTGTGGTGCTGGCTGAGGCGGGGACGGAGGAGGTGCTTCAGGAGCAGCATGGATGTCCCATTCATATGGACGTTGGGTTGTCCGGAGAGTCTGTAGCTTGTGTCTGGCTTTCTAGAGCTGTACGGAACAAAAGAACCAGCTCGTCTTGGTGTCACGTGGAGAAACCCAAGACAGGAACAAAAGAACCAGCTCGTCTTGGTGTCACGTGGAGAAACCCAAGACAGGAGCAACGTCTGCAGCTGCTCCGGGGCAAGACTCTTCCTTCCGCACCGGCACGGCTCTACCTCTCCGGCTATTTTCGGCGTTCGGCGGCACGGTCGGGTTTGCCCTTCAGGGATCGCACCGCGTGAAGCCCTTGGGGTCGGGAGGGCACTGCAGGCGCATCCTTGGCATGCCAGAAACGCCTCCGCGGCTCGCGCTCTCCGCAGGGGGTGCAGGACACGACCGCTTTATCGTTTTACGGTTCTCTACAGCCGTCTTCTCGACAGGTTTTTTTTTTTAACCTCGTCCACTGATACCCATCAGAATTTTTGTTGTAGTGAAAAAATGTTTGGTGTTTGGGGTTTTTTTTTTTTCCTCCCCCATATATTGACTATTCATTCAAAGAATCACCAAAGACCTCCTGTCATGCTCTGCTGTAGAAGCAGCATCTCATGGTGTGATGTTGCTCCCCCAAATCCCTCTTCGTCCTCTTCCTTCCCAGATTAAGACTTCAGATTTATTCAACTTTCTTCCGTTTTTATCACTATCCCACAGCGTGGCCACCACAATTACCTTGTAACTGTATTTCCAGCATTAAAAAAAAAAATAAAAATTCCTACATCTTTTTTTTTTTTAATGCATTTATTAAGACACTTATTAATGAAAACCTTGCCCAAATAACTGTAGGAATATATACATATTCTGTGCAGACCCTTCCCTCCCTCAACCCTGACAGCAATTTAATTAAGACAACGGAAATTTAATATTGATCTAAAAATAAAGACCCCACCCCCTTCCCCTCTTGGCACCGTCCCCCCCTCAGATGTTTCCTCAGAACCTTCTGCTCCAGCAGAGCCAAGTCTAGGAGGGTTCTGGGGGGGGGGGTCCCTGCGTTGGACCCCAAAATGG